AAACCCTTGCATGGTGAGCATCTGTAGCTGCAGTGCTGCAAGGATGAGGGCAGGGGTCCGGGAGGCTCCTGGGGCCAGGCAACCTAGCTGAATCAATGATGTCCAGGTTCAGTGAGACACCTTGCCTCAAAAAATGAGTTGAAAAACAATGGAGCAAGACACCCAACACTAAGGGCTGGAGAGATGGCTCTGCCATTAAGAACGTTGGCTGTTCTTCCAGAGGGCCTGGGTTTGATTCCCAGCACCCACTTGGTGGCTAACTACTGTCTGTAACTCCAGTTCCAGGGGCTCCCACCCGTTTCTGGCCTCTTCCAGGCATTGCAGGCATGTGGTGCACCGACATGCATGCAGGCAAAACACATAAAACACATAAAAATAATAAATAGCCGGGCATGGTGGTGCACACCTTTAATCCCAGCACTCGGGAGGCAGAGGCAGGCAGAGCTCTGTGAGTTCAAGGCCAGCCTGGTCTACATAGTGAGTTCCAGGCCAGCTGGGGCTGCTAACAGGGAGACCCTGTCTCAAAAAGACAAAATTAAATAAGGAACGGAAAGGGAAGGGGAGGGGGAGGGGAGGGCAGGGCAGGGCAGGGCAGGGCAGGGCAGGGCAAGGCAAGGCAAGGCAAAGGCAAGGCAGATGGGCGAAGCAGGAACAGGGAGAGTCCAGCCAGGCAGGAGACCTTGGGATAAAATCACTTCCCAGTCTGTTTCAACCTAAGGCAGCAGCACTTCTCTTCCTAAATCTTCCCATAAGGACCACACCAACAGGATGAAAATTCACAGGCACTTGTAGGAGTCTCTGCTGGAGGGAAAAGCTACTCTAGCAGCCTCAGGGCAGATCCCAGGCCATTGTAAACAAAATATGATAAAGATCTATGAGGGATAAAGATGGAGGAGGAGGGGGAGGGGCAGGGGGAGGAGGAGGAGGAGGAGGCGGCGGCCTTGGGTAGAGCACCTGTTTTAGTCACTCTCTGCCATGAGGTATACAGATAGCAGAGAACATGGATGGCATATCAAAAAGGGAATCAACAGTCCATCAGCTCAGACTGAGAGAAAATGTAACCACTGTTTCCAAGTCCTACGACCTAAAAAATGGTGGCTTGGGGGCTGGAGAGATGGTTCAGCATATAAGAGAATATGCTGCTTTTCCAGAGGGCCAGATTTCAATTTGCAGCACCCACGTCTAGCGGCTCACACTACCTGTAAATGTAGCTCCAGGGGATCTAATGTGGTCCTCTGGCCTCTGGGAACCACTGTATTCATCTGTACATATCCCACACACAAACACACACATAAGTAAAATAAAAATAATTGTTTTTTGAGACAGGGTCTCACTGTGGCACCAGCTGGCCTGAAACTTGCCATGTAGACCAGGCTGGCCTTGATCTATGAGGGATAAAGATCTAGGAGAAGGAGGAGAAGGAGGAAGAAGAGGAGGAGGAGGAGGAGGAGGAGGAGGAGGAGGAGGAGGAGCAGGAGCAGCAGCAGCAGCAGCAGCAGCAGCAGCAGCAGCAGCAGCAGGAGGAGGATCACACAGAGATCCTCCTCTGCCTCACAAGTGCTGGGATTAAAGGTTTGTGCCACCACGCCCATCTTAATTGTAGTTTCTTACGGTGATTTTTTTTTCTCCCCTTTAAAAATAAATTTTTTTTTTGTCTTTTTTGAAACAGGGTCTCCTTGTAGCCCCAGCTGTCCTGGAACTCACTATGTAGACCAGGCTGGCCTTGAACTCACAAAGATGCCTGCCTCTGCCTCCCATTGGGATTAAAGGCATGCGCCACCACGCCCGGCAAAAAAAAATTTTGAACATACTAGAAGTAATAATATCCATGAATTTCACATGTGACCTGGTCTATGTTTTTCATTTTTTAATTACATTTGTGTTTGTGTGTATGTGTGTGTGTGCACTCTCATGTCACAGTGCACATGTGGAAGTCAGAGGACAACTTGAGGATGTCAATTCTTTCCTTCTGCTGTGTGGACCATGGGGATCAAACCCAGATAATCAGGCTTGGCAGCAAGCAACTTTACCTGCTGAGCCATCTTGCCAGCAACTTATTTGTCAGTGGTTAAGAACACTGGCTGTTCTTGCAGAAGACCCTGGTTTGAATCCCAGCACCCACATGGCAGCTAACAATAACTGTCCATAACTCCAGTTCCAGGGGATCTGACAGCCTCTTCTGTCCTCCTCAGGCATTGCACAACACAGGTGCACTTACCTACATGCAGTCAACACATGCACACACCTAAAATAAAAATAATAAATAAAATATTTATTCATAAGTTGGGCATGGGGTTGGGATGTTGCTCAGTTGGTAGAATGCTTGCCTGGCATGCTCTAAGCCCTGGATTTAATCCTCAGAACCACAAAAACAAGGTATGGTGGTGCACCCCTGTAATCCCAGCACTTAGAAGGTGGAGTCAGGAGGATCAAAGTCATCATTGGCTGCATAGTGAGTTTGAGGCCAGCCTGGGATATGTAAGACCCTACCTCAAAGCAAAAATTAAAATATACTATAAGCTAGGCATGGCAATGTGTGCCTGTAGTCTCAGCTACTCAAGAAGCTGAGACAGAAAGAGTGCTTGAGCCCAGGAGTGTGAAGCCAAACTAGGCAACATAGACTATATCTCAAAGAAAAAAAAAATTGTTCATATACCATTTAAAGCTTATTTATATCCAATAGTGATTTCCATATTACATTTTAAAACGGTGTTCTGCATGCAAACAAGAAAATGCTTTAGTCCAAAAGTAGCTAAAGCAGGCCAGGTATTGTGTCTGGACCAAACACCAGGAGCTCCAGAGATTTGCCTGGCACTCATCCTTGTAGGACCCAATTCAACAGGATGACACAAGTTTCGAATGAAATTAAAGCATGACTACAGTGGAGTTGGGTTCGGCTTTTTAATTTAGAAACAGGAGGTAGGAGGACACTGAATCAGATGCTCTTTTGAAAGTGTCTCCCATTCTATAATTCAGTAGGCTCCATCCACTGTGGGACGCTTGAGTTTAGAATGCTGAAGATTTTTCTGCACATTTTTTAACATGTACAGGGTGTGCTGTGCAGGAGAAATAGTGCTGTGAGTCCACACTTCACAATCACAGTAAGATGCTGCCGGTTTAGATGGTGGGGAAATAGTCCACACCTTTGAATGTTAATTGCACTTGCTCCTGCATTCATGCCGTACTGTTGTGGAACACCACAGGCCCTGTCCTGTGTGGCTGACTCTGTCTTTAGAAATGAAGAGAGAGGAAAATTATTTAAGTTTTGCCTACAGTTAAGATTAGCCCTTTAAAGTATTCTTCTCCTGCCCCTTCATATGAAGCCTCCTGGAGAGGCTGAACTGGTTATAGAAATTTAATCCTTTTTCCATTCTCTTCAAAGGTAAATTTTTTTAGCTGACATTTTCCATTTGGTGTCTATCCTCTCCTTGGGGCCAATCACCTTAGATTGGACACAGAAGTAATATAACCCAGGACTGGTCAGATGAACCCTCTCCTTTGTAATCCATGTTCACAATATCTCATTTCTTTTTCCGGTTTCACAAGTATCAAAGTCCCAGCATTGGCAGAATCTTCCGGGAACTTGAGAAACACAGATTACCTAGTCAAGATGGACCTTCCAGACAGACTGAAAACTAATAATAGGTGGCTGGGGAGATAGACCGTTGAGTTAAAGTGCTTGCTGCACAAGCCTGTGCCCTAAGAAAGCTGAATGTGTTGGTGCGTGTCTGTAATCCACCCAGCACTCCTACGCAAGGTGAGAGGTGAAGACAAGAGAATTTCTCCAGAAGCTCCTGGGCTAGCCAACCTGGAGTACGCGGAACAGCAGAAACAGCAACAGAGACCCTGCCTCAACAAGTGGAGGGAGAGAACCAGCTCCACACATTTGCTATGGCATACACATGTGCATGCACACCCACACCATACATACTAATATTTTTAAAATAAAAGTAATAAAAACTAACTATAAGTAAACTATCATTAATATGCTAGTTGGAAGCACGGCTTTTCAGACAACTGAATGAATCCCAGCTCTACTTATGGTGAAACTGGAAGCAAGTTAATTAACCTGCTGTTTCTGTGCCTTCTCTTACAAATCAAGGGCATAAATATCCCCTGCCTCAGAGGGTCACCGTGAAGACTAACTGACATAACACACAGGAGGTAGTTAGCACAGTGCTGGACATGTTATTTTCACTGTCTCTTGTAGTTTGCCACCATTCTTTCACACATATTACCTGAAACAGCTGTAGTCGTTATGGCAGATTCCACATATAGATCCACCTAACATCCACTCTCTAACCCTTTCTGAGGCCCACCGTGGCTTCTACATGTGGGCGGAGATATGCAGAGCACAGGTTCTAGGACTGAGAAGGTTATTCAGATGCAGCCACGTGCAGGTGGATCTGTCGTCTTTTGGTAACAACCATGGTGGAAGAGCTTTGGAAGTTCTAGTGCCCAGTTGGTGAGCAGCAGCAGTGGGATTTCCATGAAAACATGCATGTTACAGATTAAACTTTTCTCCTGGGCTTGTGTCTGGTTGTCAGCATCCTAGTCTGTTTTCCAAGCACTGCTGGCAATCCTATGAGCCACCTACCATGGGGCTGTAATCCTTTTCTGTTAAAAGTCATGACAGTGAATTCTGTTGTCTGCAACTAAGAGCAAAGTAATTGCCAAAGCGATAAATATGGTAATTATCAGAATGGTCCTTCTGTAATAAAGATTTCTTTTTTTGTTGTTAAATTTTTTTTATTATTTTTATTTTATGTGTATTGCCTGCCATGTATGTAAGTACACACGTGTCCCTGCAGTGCCCTCAGAGGTCAGAAGAGGGCATGAATTCCCTGGAATTGGAGTTACAGACAGTTGTTAGCTGCCTCATGGGTGCTGGATATTGAACCTAGGTCCTCTGCAGTCATTGTTCTCAACCACCAAGCCATCTTTCCAGCCCATTTTCCCTTCCCTCCCTCCTTCCTTCCTTCCTTCCTTCCTTCCTTCCTTTTTTCCTTCCTTCCTTCCTTCCTTCCTTCTTTTTCTTTCATTCTTTTGCGTGTGTGTGTGTGTGTGTGTGTGTGTGTGTGTGTGTGGTTTTTTTGAAACAGAGTCTCATTTATGTAGCCCTACCTGGCCTCAAACTCACAGAACTCCACCTGCCTCTACCTCCCAAGTTCTGGAATCAAAGGCATACAGTACCATATTTGGCCTAAGGTTTCTTTATTAAGCATCCCCAGGTTAGGAAAGCATGTATTTTTTAAAGAAAAATATTTGTGCTGGACGTGGTGGTGCATATGTTTAGTCCCAGCACTTAGGAGGCATAGACAGGCAGATCTCTGTGAGTTTAAGACCAGCCTGGTCTACATAGTGAGTCCCAGGCCAGCTGGGGTTATAGGGAGACCCTGTCTCAAAAAGACCAAAAAAGCTGGGCATGGTGGCACACACCTGTAGTCCCAGCACTTGGGAGGCAGAGGCAGGCGATCTCTGTGAGTTCAAGGCCAGCCTGGTCTATATAGTGAGTTCCAGGACAACTGGGGCTGCAGGGAGGCCCTGCTTCAAAAAGACAAAAAAAAAAAAAAATTTATTTTGGGAGTTGGAGAGATGGCTCAGCTATTAAGAACACTGTCTGCTCTTGAAGAAGACCCAGGTTCAGTTTCCATCACCCACATGGTGGCTAACAACTGTCTGTAACTCAAGTTTCAGGAGATCCAACACCCTCTTCTGTCCTCCACAGATACCACATGCATAGGTGCACTTAAATACATGCAGGCAAAACATTCATACAGTGCATGTAGTACCCTTGGAGACCAGAAGAGGATATCAGATCCCCTAGAACTGATGTTACTGATGATTGTGAGCCACCATGTAGGTGCTGGGAACCTGGGTGCTTTGCAAGAGCAAGAGCCTCTGCCTCCCAAGGGCTGGGATTAAAGGTGTGCACCACCATGCCCAGCATAAATAAATATTTTTTTGAAAACTTTGCCCTTCAGGTGGATCTCCATGAGATCAAGGCCAGCCTAGTCTACATAATTAGTTCCAGGACAGTTGGGGCTACAGGGAGACCCCGCCTTAAAAGACAAAAAAATAGGGCTGGAGAGATGGCTCAGCAGTTAAGAGCACTGGCTGCTCTTGCAGAGGACCAGGGTTTGATTCCCAGCTAACAACCATTCATAACTCAAGTTTCAGGGGAATCCAATGCCCTCTTCTGACCTCTGTGGGCATTGCACAACACCGGTGCACTTATATACGTGTAGGCAATATACTCACAGACAGAAAATTAAAATAATAAATAATTTTAAAAAAAAGACAAGCAAAAACTTTATCTTTGCTTTCAAAATGATTTTTGTTGTTCGTGGTGGTCTTTTTGAGACAGGGTCTCCCTGTAGCCCCAGCTGGCTTGACACTGGCTATGTAGATAGACCAGACTGGCCTCAATCTCACAGAGATCTGCCTGCCTCTGCCTCCTGAGTGCTAGAACTAAAGGTGTGCATCACCACATCCAGCATGAATTTATTCATGAGCAAATTGTGTGGTTCTTTTGTTTGTTTTAAGATTAAATTCATTTTGACCTGGTGTGGTGGTACATACCTTTAATCTCAGCACTCAGGTAGCAGAGGCAGGCAGATCTCTGTAAGACAAAGACCAGCCTGGTTTACATAGTAAGTTCCAGGTAGACTGGGACTAGGGAGACCTTGTCAAAACAGAAAAAAATAAAATAAAATAGAATAAATTCATTTTGAAAGCAAGGGCAAAATGCGTGTGTGTGTGTGTGTGTGTGTGTGTGTGTGTGTGTGTGTGTTTAGCAAATTTTGTGGGTTTTGGTTTTTGGTGGGTTTTTTGTTTGTTTTTTTTTAAATCAAGTGAAGGCACTTGCCACCAAGCCTGCCTGGCAACCTAAGTTTAATTCCAAGGACTTACATGGTAGAAGGACAGGACAAACTCTCACAAGTTGTCCTCTGACTTCAGAATAGACTCTATGGCATGCACTCACCCACACACATAAACACACGCACAATTAAATAATAATAAAAATGTTTTGCCAGGGGGCTGGAGAGATGGCTTAGCAGTTAAGAGCACAAGCTGCTCCTCCAGAGGATCTGGGCTTGGTTCCCAGTGCCTACATGGCTGCTAACAACCATCCTTAATTCCAGTTCCAGGGGATTTGACACCCCTCTTCTGGCCTCCACAGGAACTGCACAACATGAGTTCACTTACAGGAAAAACTCATTCACATAAAACAAAAATAAATAAAAAAGATTTTTTTTTTGGTTCTGCTAAGTGTGGTACACACACATTTAATCCCAGAACTAGGGAGTTAGAGGCAGGTGAATCTCTGTGAGTTCAAGGCCAGCCTATTCTACATAGTGAGTTCCAGGACAGCATAATGAGGCCCTGTCTCAAACAACAACAACAACAACAACAACAAAATAGTTTTTAAAAATACCACATGAAGACAAACCTTTATTTTTTTTTAAGTCTTCATTTTCTTTGGCAACAGACCACCTTTTGTGAGAACTGAGAGTTAAACTGATTAGCACTGGGGAGATGACTCAGCAGTTAAGAATGCTCTTTCAAAGTACCAGAGTTCAATTTCCAGCACCTACATTGGATGGCCCAAAACCACTTGTAACTCCAGCTCAAGGAGATCCAAAACCCTCTTTCTTGTTTCTTTGTGCACTCACACACACACATGTGTACACACACATACCCAGAAATAAAAATAAAATAAATCCGCTGTTCTTGGTGAGGCACATCTTTAATCCCAGCACTCAGGAGGCATAGACACATGGAACTCTGTGAATTGAAGGCCAGCCTGGTCTATCAATTCCAGGCTAATCAGTGCTACAGAGTGACACCTTGTCTCAAAAATAATAAATAAATAAATAAAATGTTTTAATAAAACATTTTAATAAAGTAAAAAAAAATTAAGAAAAACTGTGCTGGTTAATTTTTTTGTTGTTGTTTTTGTCAACTTGACTCAAGCTAGAGTCACCCAGCAAGAGGGAACTTCAATTGAGGAATTTCCTCTATCAGATTCATCTGTGGCCATGTCTATGGGGCTATTTTCTTGATTGATAATTGATATATGAGGACCTAACCTGAGCAAAGCAAGAGAAGCAAGTGAGTAAGCAACGTTCCTTTGTGGTTTGTGTTGCAGTTCCTGCCTTCAGGTTCCTGCCCTGAGTCCCTGACTTGCTTTGCCCCAATGATGAACTGTAACCTGTCAGCTGAAATTAACCCTTTCCTCCCATGTTGCTTTGGTCATGGTGTTTGTCACTGCAACAGAAAGCAAACTAATACACTGATTAAAGTCAGAATATTGCAGAACAGAATCTTCAGTTGGGGCTTTCTAGCATATGGCAGGTAAACCCACCTGACAGAGGGTGCTCTATAGATTACAATGCCTATGAAAGAAATGTCAGAAAGCCAGTGTATTTGCATAAGTCCTCAGTTCCAGATATTGTTTGTAGTTACTAATGTGCTCACGTCTAGGATGGCACCCAGAGGAGAATGCCTTGAAAAAGTAACAAGAACAGTGAGGTCTATCACCAGAGCGATTTTGAATATGAAAACCAAATGTATGATGGGCACAGGCCTGGGTGAAGTATGGCTTCGGTTTTATTTTACTTGGTGGTGGTGGTAGTTGTAGTGGTAATTTTAAAATCATGTCTATTTCTCCACCCCACCCCCCGCAAAGACTTTTGATACCCTCTGAGTGTGGCCCCATTGCTTAACTCTCTTGTCACTTCCCACTCTTTTACCTTAGATCCTTCTGGCTGAAGGTAATGACCTCTTCAGAGCAGGTCTGGGAACTTTCCACAATGCTAGAACAACAGGAAGAGCTGTCATGTGCTTGATATTCATATTTTCTGCCTTTCTCAGAAAGAAGCACAAAAAGTGGTGGACCTGTGGTTTAATGGAATGGTGTATTGGTTTCCTGGTGCTGCTGGGACAGATTGCCACAAATTTATTGACTCAAAACAGCACAAATAAAACATCTTGTAGTTCTAGAGGTTAAAAGTCCAAAATCAGGCCAGGCATAGTGGTACATGCCTTTAGTCCCAGCAATTGGGAAGTACAGGAAGGCAGATCTCTGTGAGTTAGAGGCTAGCCTGGTCTACATAGTGAATTCCAGGCCAGCTGGGGCTACATGGAAACCCTGTCTCAAAAATACCAATAAAATAAAACAAAATAAAACAAAATAAATAAAATATCCAAAATCAGTTTCACTGGGACTTAGCCTCATGTTTCTGGTATTGGTTCCTTCTGGAAATTTCAGGGGAGGATCCATTTTCTTGTCTTCTTCAGCTTCTCTAGGGTGGCTAATTCTCTGCCTCTAACCTCCAACCTCTTGTTCCCATGCTCCTTTCTCCTCCAACTGCCTCTCAACCTTCTATGACTCTCTTCCTGGGAATTTTGTCATCACTTGGAACTCACCTGGGCAATCCAGGTTATCACCCCCACAAGATCCATATATTTTGTTTGTTTTATTTTTGTTTTTTGAGACAGGATTTTCCTGTAGGCCCAGCTAGCCTGGAACTTACTATGTAGACCAGACTGGCCTTGATCTCACAGAGGTCCGCATGCATCACTATGCCTGGCAAGAGCCATAATTTCATTACATACTTCAAAATGTGATTTCTGCCATATAAGGGAGACCTTACAGGTTCTGGAGAATAAAGTTTACCCAGCCTATCACAGATAGCAAGACGCA